TCATTGCATACCCAGGAAACACAATAGTGATCTCCATGGTTACATTCATTCTCCTGGTGCCTGTGCACTCACAGGTGGGATCTTCTGACCCCTGAACATGGTTCCCAGCTCCCCAGCCAGCCCCCTCGAGGCCAGCCATCCCGCCGGCTCCTGCACAATTGTTCCCGCTCTCTGCATCTTAAAAGCACATGTGACTCCTTCCTGGTGCCTTCCTCTGTAATGTTCCTTTTACTCTGCGGTTCTGGGGGGAGGCCTGGGGCTGTTCTCCAAGCCTCGCATTTCCCTACCCTGCGCGCCTTGGCATCCGAGGGCTTTTCCGAGATGACATGCTTTCTGTCAGGCTGTGGGGGAGGCGAGAGGAAGTGGTCGCTCCTGCTCCCTGCACATTCACAGAACAGCCTGCACCAAATCCGAGCGCTTAGCTGATAACTTTCTAAAGAGAAAGAAACCAGTAAATGGCCCAATTAAAACAGACAAAAGAGGAAAATGTGAGTGAGCGCTGGAGTGTTGGCGAGAAGGCTCGGCTCTGTGGGAAGTGCTCCATGTTTGTCTGCCAGTACCTGTTACTTGAAGGGCTCTGACATTTTCCAGACTTCCCTGCAGGGATAGCAACACCTGATTCCACTTAAAACTTGTAGTGTGTCTCCCCCCAGCCCTACACCTCACCCTAGAAACCATAGAGTGTGGAGAGAATGAGGATGTAATTAGCTGGGAAAAACTTCCCAGGACTTCCGTCAACGTATTTCAGAGCCACACTTGGATACGGCTAACACACAAACAACATGCACAAGGCAAGAGGCGTGGGGCTGAGAGAGGTGCTCAGGTGCTCGCTGATCCTCTGCCCAGTTTGCAACTTTCACATGCACCAAAATGGCTGTGCTTGCGACGCGCCCACAAATGAGACCGACTGAGACCTGAGGAGGATGGGAACGTCACCCCAGGGAAGCGAGGAAGCAGTTTGCTCCATAAAGATTTCCACAGAACAAACATGCTGCAGCCTGTCTATTTAGCATCTGCAGACCTCTTCTCCTCTGTGGCTGTGGCTGTGTTCTCCAGTTCCCTGCCCCCATCCTGTTCTGTGCTGGATGGGACAGCAGGCCCTGCTTGCAGGATGTTTTTCAGTGTTTCAGATTTATGGTTGTCTGTGTCAGATTTAGTAGGTGTAGGACTCCTAAGAAAGCGGAGGTCTGTGTGCAGAAATGGTGAAGGAGGGGCTGAAGGAAGAAGCTGCTCTGAGACAATCCATCATGCACGAACCATCACTTAGAAGCTACTCTGAGACGGCTATCGGATTCAAGGAACGAGACACAGAAAATCCCAAAGCCTCTGTGAGCGGGCTCTGTGCGGATAGAGCCCGGAAGGGGCGGCTAGCGCCCTCTGGTGTGAGGAGTCCCAGGTTTTAGCTTAGGAGAGCAGCTCTCCTCCCTCTCCCAACGCAGCGGGGCGGGGGGGGAGGGCTGTGTCACCCAGTATGACCCATAGCACAGACTTTGGGAGCACAGTATTGCTGGAGGTGCCGACCTTAATGGCCTGTGCAGCACACGCCATGTTTCAGCACCCCTAGCCCAGTGCGTATTCCTTGCTAGGGCTGAGCCCTGACACCTCTGGGCTTGGCAGTTCAGAGCCCCGGCACCTCTGCCCTGGCACATCCGTTATGAAAGTAAAAAAGAAAATTGCTTGAGCCCCAGCACCTCTTTAATTACAAACTAAGCCCTGCCCCCAGCGCTGTGCTTCTGGGTGTGGCGTCCCTCGTACCAAGGATATGCTTCATCATGTCTCTTCTAGCAACGTTTGTTTTATTATGAAGACGATGATCCTGGTTCCAAAATGAAGGTTACACCAGGATTTTCTTTTCAGTGGGACCTTTGTGGTCTTCTAAATCGGTTTGGACATGACTATTTTGGGGGGAAGGTACCAGGAGTGATAGCTCTCAGCATGCCTGATGTTCCTGCAGTACCCATGTGCTGAAGTCATGTCACTAAACTACAGGCTGGAAAAAAATATTTTTTTTACAGATTTCAGGCAGGGTATCCCCCTTTTTCCGAACATTTTTTGTAGAACACTGCCATGAAAATTCACTCCCGCAAAGAAACACGCTGTTTGGTGACTACAAACATTGTCTAAGGCTTGGTCTACACTAAACCCCCAAATCGAACTAAGGTACGCAACTTCAGCTACGTGAATAACGTAGCTGAAGTTGAAGTACCTTAGTTCGAACTTACCGCCGTCCAGACCCGGCAGGCAGGCTCCCCCGTCGACTCCGCGTACTCCTCGCGGCGAGCAGGATTAACGGAGGCGACGGGGGGCACCTCTGAGGTTCGTTTTTCACGTCCACACCC